TGTGATCAGCTCAACACAGTGCACAAAAGACTGGCAGAGGAATTCTGCAACCGGAGAGGAAGTTGGTTAATTATTCCAAGACCATCTCTTTGTTTTTGTATTGATTTTTCAATTGTATGACCTTTTCATTCATTTATATGTTTATTCATTCAGTAGAATGTGTTAATTACACTAGGAACATATTAATTACACTAGAAACAGAAAACAGCACAACATGTCCCCTGACCTCTCAGTACATCCCGAATATGAGACAGACATATAAATAAACCCATGATAGCAATATTAATCGTATTCCTTCCTTGAAAAATTAGGGAAGTTATAGACTCAAATTTAATAAATAGTTATTATGAAAAAGTCCTTAAGTCCTTTAATTTTTATCTTAGAAAGAAAAATTATTGGAGAACACACACACACACACACACACACACACACACACACATTCTTTTGTTGCCAACGGAGCCAGCTTAATCTACCAGTGAAAATAGTGAAGTTTAATTTTGTTGTTGTTCCTAAAATGGTCGGCTATAGATGCTATACTACATTTACATGGATGACAGAATTGTTTATTGCACAACAAAGTCAGTCCATGCAAATTAGATGCTTTGGTATTCTCTTCAGTGGTCCTACATTGTGAATGAAAAAGTTTGCACTTTCAAAGTTCAGCTGAGGAAACCTCTGATTTTGTTAGATATTTCTGGTTACTAAGACACTATGGCTCCGTCCAATGTGTAAACATCTCAAAGTAATTCAGTGCAAAAGGTTCTCACAGGCTGGATTAGGGGTGGAGTTTCACAAAGTGCAGTTTAATAAGGATAATGGGGAAAAAATTTAGGCAAAATTCAGATTAAAAAATGAGGGAGATAAACTTCAAGAGCAGCATCAGTGACAACAACCTTCAAGAGTTTTATATAAGTTACAACATAGATTAGCACTGAGTGCGGCTTTCACAACAAAATGAGCTCATGTGATTTTAGAACACTTGGTTAAGAGGAAGCATATGAGAAGTAGGAGCTGATAAACAGTCTGACACTGGCCATACCCTACTAGTTGCTTTGTGCTTATTTTTAGGCATCTCAGGTAACAAGTGACATAACCCAGTCAAAAACTAAAATAATTTTGAAGAGGAAGGAAGTCAGGATGATGAAAAAGCCATATTAAAAAAGGCTGAAGATTTCAATAACGTTTGACTTGGAGAACATAGGACTTGGGATGTTTAGAAGGTTTTATGTTAAAAATTTGAAATGTTTGAATATTTGTCATGCTTAAGAGGAATTACATTGTAGTATTCAGGAGAGTGATCGATATTTACAGGAAAGGGGGTTTTTAATAAGTATTAGAACATTTCAATAGGACAGATCCATAAATGAAGTGGAAATCCTCTAAGTAGTGAGTTCCCATCCCTAAGGGTTCTTCAAGAGAAGCTGGACTGTAGTTTGGCAGACTGTTCACTGAATCTCACGCAGGGAATTTGAACATGTGAGCAACAGTTGTTCCAACCATATTAAATACCACCTCACAAGTGTGTAGAGCTCTAGGAGTGCATCGCGTTTAGGGCATGAGATGACAGTTGAAGGTTCATAATAGTTTGTAAGTATTCTTAATAATTTACAATGTTGTCATATTTTAAGGAAAATTACCTTGGAAAACCTCATAGGAAGGAAATGATAAAAACATACACACCTTTTATCTCTCTAACATAGCCAGTCTTTTCTCAGCTGATGATTAGTTGATGCTTAAGAACCAGTGAAAGTAGTTGGCATACTTATGGAGTATGTTGTATGAAAACCATGTGTTTTTTGACCCTTGAATCACACTTGGCATGGAAATTCTCAAAAGCTGGAAGGAAAGATGGAAGTAAGATGCCTGAGAGAAGAGCAGATACATTCTTATCCTCTCACTCGAATTTAGGGGCATGCTTCCATAGAGTGGAAAATTGGATAAAATGGTATACATAAGCTAAGCTCCTTCAGTCTTTTTGCCTGCACCTAAATAGTTGAATTCCTGTATGTTAAATGAACATGAAATGACTCCACTCCTGTCTTTTTAAAGCTCTCTTATTACCTGATAGTCTTGAGCTGTTTCTGCTCATTATCTGATGGCTCCTTCTAGTTCCTTCCATTGCCCTCATTTCTTTACTTGGCAAAATTTTTAAAAAAGCTTGTTCTATATCAAGAAGCTTAACTTTATTTACATGTTGGTAATGAGGGGAGATTTGAGAAGTTTAACCTGGCTTGTTACCTAACAGGTTACTAATGACCTAACATATCTACATTATTTCATTAAATTCTCTAAACTTCCTCCAGAAAGAAGTATTGCTTATATTAATATTGTAAATGTAGGGAAACGGATGCTTAGTCAGCTTGTGTAGCAAAGAATTAAGCAGAGGCAAAATGAGATCTGTTTGACCCCAAGTTCATACTCTTTCCATTATACACAACAGTTTTCCTTATTTGACTTAGATCTTTTAATAGAGGCATTTTTGGGCTGATTGCCATAAGGTTAGAGCGAATATACTCCAGTTTCTAACTTTTCTGTTCAATTTTCCAGGTTACATTTCTGTGAAATGAAGTGAATGGATATTTTGCTTACACAGCTTTGCTCAGCAATCAGTTGCTTTCTGGCCATGGCCATAAAAGGAAAATTCTTTCCACAAATAGAATCTCGGGCAAAAAAAAAAAAAAAAAAGTATTGTTCCTTTTGATGTGTTTTTACTCCTTTCTCTGCAATCCTTACATGGTAAACTGGAATAAGGCAATCGTTTATAGAGAAACAGGACTTGCAAAAGAAAGATGAAACCCTTCTGCAACCAGTAAAGAAGTTTCTGCATGTAGCCCTCATTTTGATAAAACAGTAAACCTGCCCTTTTGTTTTCCTTTTTCTTTTCTTTTTTGGTTCCCCCCAGAACACAGAGCTGGACTTTGGTTGGGGTAACAAAAAGGAAATGAAACCTTACTCTTAAATGTGAGGTAGATCTAAGGTTCATGGTGTAGAAATGGGAAATTTATTTTCTACACCTTTGCTCGCTACTGTCTAGATGGAATTAGAGATTGTTTGCCCAGGGTGATGAGATTCAATTGGTATGTCAACTCAGGCTGTCTGTGCAGGTCCATGGATCAGAGCACTCTGTGACTTCCCAGAAACATAAACCACTGATGGAGAATTATTGCTGGTTTGAACTTTTAGTTCTGATTGGATTTGGTTATCCTGTGTAGAATTAGCCTCTGTATGCTAAGGGAGAAAAAGGTAAGAATGGAGGTGAGGGTCCAATTTAGTATTTCCCACAGGCCCCCCTCACAGAAATTATTGGAGTTTTAAAGAATATACTCAAAGGGGTAAGAAAGTATATATTTTGTGATGTGCTTTGTAATTATTTACATTTGACCTATACTTCAGGGCACTTAATACTCAAATCATTGTTTAGCAAGGAGGAATGAAAGCCTCTTTTAAGACGGTACATGATGTACTCACTAACTTTTGCATTCCTACCCATCATATTTTTCTCCTGGATCTCATCACCTAAGCTGTAGGCTCCTTGGGGGAAGGAAGGACGAGGATTTAGACATCCGTGGATTCAACTGAGAGCCTGGCACAGTGTCTTTCTCTGGGTAGGAGCCCACAGAAGGTTTGGTGATTCATTGGTGCTGCCACTTCCTTGCGAGAAAGGGGAAGACAGACATGCAGTGTGATGTGGAATATGTCTATTTGTCCCTGTCACTCATATGGATCACCTGAGGGGAAAATAGCATTCATTTTTCTTTCTGATTGTAGGGCTATTCAAAAGAGCTACTTGAATTGTATCAGAGGTGATATCCTCATTTTGAGAAACTAACATATAGTTCTGGATTAGGATGCAGTTTAAAAATTGCATGATATTTTTAATATACGTTAAAATGTAGGTCTGTCAATCATGCTGCTTTTTCTATAAGAGGATGTCATAAAACCTTTCCCTAAAAGAGGCTGAAATTTGAAGCCACATTAGTTATTATTAATAGTTATTATCCGTCATTACATGTCTTGTGAAATCCATCATTTTCACTACTTTTCAGTAGTCCTGTCAGAAATGTATTCTGACAGAAATAAAAATTCATGCACTACTAACTGGGACTTCAGTTAATGATACCAACTGTTATGAATATTCACTTTTTAAAGCTACCCTTTCTGGCGAAATTCCTATATGCCAGGCATGGTGCTAAGTGTTTTACATACATCACCTCGTTTAATCCCTATTATAGTGCTATTTTAAAGATGAAAAAATGGTGATTTAGGTTCATTTGCATGCTAGGATCATACAAAATGGTACAGCTGAAATTCAAGTGGTATGTCAGATTGCAAAACCCCAATTTTAAACATTACGCTGCTGACTTAAGTTTCTTGCTGAATTGTCTCTGCCTTTTCCTGAGCACTTACGAGCAGTCGTTGTGTATGTTCTCATTTAGCTTCTCTGACAAGGGATCTTCAGTGCCTTCCATTTTATAATGTTTATTCAAAGACTTCTGTTTGTAATGGCAATTCCTTGAGCTTAATTTTTTTTTCGATTTTTTCTGCTTTGTAGGATTTAAACAATATAATTACATGATAAACTCTCTGAGGGGAAAAAAAAATCTATGTTTATGTAAGTGTGACTGATGGAATCCAGGATCTAATATCAAGAATTCTTGACCTCTGGAATAGGCCTGTTGTTTTAGAATCCAAGAAAACAAAGCAATTTGTTCTTTTACTGAAGAGCCCATCCCAAGTAAAGCTGTCAGACCCTAAAGTGTTGCGATGCATCTGTATAGCCATATGCTGACAGATGTTTCTGTATGTAACTCTAGCTTCCTGATGTACAGTGTGACTTCCAAGCAAAAATTTTTGTCTTTACTTGTTGAAGTTTTATCTGCAAAAGAGTTCAACCGTGTGAAAAAGAATTAGTAAAACGAAAAGGGGTGAACTAAAAATATACTATGTCAAAAGAAAACCAAAAATGTTATCAAGCTTTTTTTTTTTTTTTTTTTTTCCAGCTAGTGATGGAGAACGACATGATAATCTTGGATTCCTTCTGTCAGATAGCACAGAAATACCACAAGGTAGTGTACCAGTTCCAGGGTGGCAGCTAATCTGCTGATCGCACAGCAGCATGCCACCCCAGAAAGATCAATCTGCCGTCTCATTAGGACTTCATGTAAAAAAGAATTTTGTTAGCAAGAACAAGGAACACTTATCAAAAATTAATTAGTATATGTAGTTCAACTTGTGCAAATTCAGAAAATAATTATGTTGATTTACTTTATTTTTTTATTGTACTTTAAGTTCTAGGATACATGTGCAAAACGTGCACGTTTGTTACATAGGTATACATGTGCCATGGTGGTTTGCTGCACCCATCAACCCACCCATCTACATTAGGTATTTCTCCTAATACTATCCCTCCTCTAACCCCCACCCACCAATAGGTCCCAGCGTGTGATGTTCCCCTCCCTGTGTGTCCATGTGTTCTCATTGTTCAACTCCCACTTATAAGTGACAACATGCAGTGTTTGGTTTTCTGTTCTTGTGTTAGTTTGCTGAGAATGATGGTTTCCAGCTTCATCCATGTCCCTGCAAAGGACAAGGACTCATCCTGTTTTATGGCTGCATAGTATTCCATGTTGTATATGTGCCACGGTTTCTTTATCCAGTCTATCATTGATGGGCATTTGGGTTGGTTTCAAGTCTTTGCTATTGGGAACAGTGCTATAATAAACATACATGTCCACGCGTCTTTATAGTAGAATGATTTATAATCCTTTGGGTATGTACCCAGTAATGGGATTGCTGGCTCAAATGGTAGTTCTGGTTCTAGATCCTTGAGGAATTGCGACACTGTCTTCCACAATGGTTGAACTAATTTACACTCCCACCAACAGTGTAAAAGCATTCCTATTTCTCCACATCCTCTCCAGCATATGTTGTTTTCTGATTTTTTAATGATCACCATTCTAACTAGTGTGAGAAGGTATCTCATTGTGGTTTTGATTTGCATTTCTCTAATGACCAGTGGTGATGAGCATTTCTTCATATGTTTGTGGGATGCATAAATGTCTTATTTTGAGAAGCGTCCATTCATATCCTTCACCCACTTTTTGAAAGGGTTGTTTGTTTTTTTCTTGTAACTTCGTTTAAGTTTGCTGTAGATTCTGGATATTAGCCCTTTGTCAAATGGATAGAGTGCAAAAATTTTCTCCCATCCTGTAGGTTGTCTGTTCACTCTGATGATAGTTTCTTTTGCTGTGCAGAAGCTCTTTAGTTTAATTAGATCCCATTTGTCAATTTTGGCTTCTGTTGGCATTGCTTTTGGTGTTTTTGTCATGAAGTCTTTGCTCATGCCTATGTCCTGAATGGTATTGCCTAGGTTTTCTTCTAGGGATTTTATGGTTTTAGGTCTTATGTAAGTCTTTAGATTTACTTTAAAAATAAAAAAAAGAAGAAAGGAATTTTTTAAAAGAAGTTTAAAAGTAGAATGTCTCATTTGAAAATTTTTGTATTTCTTAAAATCTCATCTTATTTTATTCAAGACAGGTAAATGCTCCTCCTAACCATAGAAAGCTTCTATGGAGTTGCAGCTTTAAAGACTATCTTTGACAAAGACTTCTCTCTAGATGTGTTATTGCCTCTAGGAAGTGCGAAAATAGCACCAATTGGTTTCCCTGTTGCACCCACGGAAAGATCGCATTTTGGCGTCACTTGGAAGCCATTGTTTGCAGAAGGCAAAGCTGTCAGTGACTCATTTATTCTCACCTCTTGTCTAATGCTTTGCTTCAAGCACAGTCTTGGCTGTGCCTCAGATTGATCTTTGAGCTCCTTTTTTTTCCCCTTAGAGGTCCACATCTAGTTATTACCACTGGATTTTGCACATTGTGGCACCTGTAAACATCCTCTATGCCCCAAATTCTGAGGTTTACTCACTTTTTGTGCAATGCTTAGCAGTTGTTTGGATGTTCTCTTGTCATTTATTTTATTTGGCTCTTCTGTGAGGTTTGTGCTGATGGCAAATGTTGTTTGAGTTTGGATTAAAGTGCTTGTGAACTTTACATTGGTGATGCCCTTCTTCATTTGTTATTAGAAATATTCGTAGAGGAATCATAATGTGACACCTACAGGGAGTTCATGTTCTAGAGATGATGAGAAATTTGATTTTGTGTTTAGTAGTTACTGTGGTTAATGTAATTGTAGCTGACACAATATAAAACCATTCCAAGGACTTACCCCCAGAGTTTACTTTTCTCTCGCATAGAGACCAGTTAGCAGAGGATGGGTCGGGAGCATAGGGTTTTGTTCCATGTGTTTGTTTAGCGTTCAGACTTTTTTCATCTTGTGGCTCCATGACCCACAGGGCTTCTGAACCATCTGCTAGATCATGTGCATTCAGCCTGAAGAAAACACACTGCTTTCTTAGTCACTTTGCCCATTTTGCTTCCAATAATATTCTGTTGATGAGTACAAGTCACTTGAGTCTGACTGAGTCAATGGGGGCAAGAGAAATGTAGCCTCTGACAGGGCAGCCACTTCCCGAATACAAGTCCACCAAAAACAAAGACAAAATAAAAACAAAATGTTGATGTTCAGCTGGCAACCTCTGCTAACTGTTCAAAATGAGTAACTTAGTGCTAATCTCTGCCTCTAAATATCCTGAATGCATTGTATTTCTTTCTTAGGCCTGTCATAAAAAAGTGATACAAAATGGGTGGTACAAAATAATAGAAATGTAGGATTTCACAGTTCTAAAGTCAGAAGTCTAAAATCAAGGTATCAGCAGAGCCAGGGTCATTCTGAGACTCTGGGTAGCATCCTTCGTCGCCCCATCCTTGCTGATGGTGGTGACCCATCAATCCTTGGCATTCATTGGTTTGCAGCTGCATCGCTCCAAACCCTGTCTCCATCATCTTATGGCATCATTCTCTCTTTGCATTTTTGTCCTTACATGGTGCTTTCATTTTCTTAGGACACTAGTCATATTGGATTAGGGTCTACATCAGTAAATCTCATCTGACCTTGATTACATCTGCACATTTTTCAAAATGAGGTCACATTTATACGTATCAGGGGTTAAGACTTCAACATATCTTTTGGGAGAAAGAAGCAATTTAACCCATAACAGATACATTGGGTTCTTTTGTTTTGTTTTGATTTTTAAGTTCATTACCAATTTCTGCTTATTAATACATTAAATATAAAACACAGCAACTATAATCATATCAGAATTCTTTTAATTTCTACCAAGATGTTGTTCAGGGACAACTTAGACCAGGGATCTGAAAAGTTTTTTTTGTAAGGATCCAGACAGATAATTTTGGCTTCGTGGGCCATAGTCTCTGTCACAGTTTCTCAAGTGTGCCATTACAGCATGAAAGCAGTCATAGACAATAGTCAATGAGTGAGCATGGCTCTGTTCCAATAAAAGTTGTATTTTATTGAATTTCATACATTTTATTGAATTTGACCTGTAGGCTGTGGCATTTACAGCCCTGTGCTAGACTATATTCCATTATAACCTGGATGTGAATATTGTGAAATGAACCTTGGGACTGGATTCAGGCACACGTAAATTCAAATTCTGACCATCATTGGGTAGCTGTGATCTTGAATGGCTTAACCTCTGTAAGTGTCAATCCCTCATCAATAAAATGAGGACAATTCCCATAAATCATCCACACAATGCCTAGCTCATTGTAGGCATTCATATATAGTTGCTTACATAGCTCTTCCTTTGCAGAGGCAGTGTAACAAATCAGACGAGAACAATGTCTCCTTCTGATATTTGATCTTGGGCATGTTCCTTAATATCACTGTGCTTCATTTTTTCCTCATCCTTTAAATAGACATAATAATAGTGCCTAGCTTTTAGCTTTCTTATGAGGATTCAGTAATACATGTCAAGAATCAGACCAGTGCCTGGCACTGTGTAAGCACTCAGTAAATGACAGCTAGTCACACTGGCCATTGTTGTTATAATTGGCTTCCCTTGTTACTCAGCAAAAGGAATTACTGAATTTTATTTTTGCTGAATTTATGTCAAAGAGTGAACTAAATGAATACATCATCGTTATTCAGGCCTGAGTATTCTTTTCCTGATTTATCAGTTCGATTAAGATGAAAAAACAGTTTCTCTTTTGTTATGTATACTATTTCTGCTCAACTAGGGAGAACAATGGCATAAAACTGTGAAAGTGGCCACTAAGTCCTCTAGCCACACTATACCTCAAGTCTCATCCATGTTACAATAAGAATTTAAAGGAAAATTAATTCAATGAATACAATTATGCTTTAGAGCTAACTTTGGTATAAAATGTTTATATATTATATCTGGGGATTTTGTCATTAGACAAATATATAAAATTGAATACAATTTAATCATGTATAATTGAGAACTTTTTATGGAGATATGTCAGAGAAAAAACTCTTGGCTACCCAATGTTATGTTGAAATGTAATACAAATTTAATTTGAGATCTATATATAAATATATTTGAGATCTATATGTATTTCTAAATAATGAGAAATTTTGCAGAGAATTACAGTGATCATCTAGCTAGTTTCTCACTTTTCTTAAATTAAGAGGGAATGTAGGTCATATTACAGGAATATGATTTGATGGTTTTGCAGTATGATATTCATGGGGTCATGAGATTCAAGTCAAAATTGAATATTTTATTGGGTATTTTTACTTCTGTATGTTTAATATAGCATTCAATATGCCCCATGTTCATAATACAAATACCATTTGACACCAGTTTGGATAAATTCAAATCCATAGAAATACAGTTTTGTGGGTTTGTTGCTTAATTGTATTTGGAGGATTTTATATTTGTTTATTTATTTATTTATTTAGAATTTAAGGACTAAAAGCCTGAATTTAATTTAAGGACTAAAAGTCTAAATAACCTAACAGTGTTTGAAAGCTCTTTACAATGTAATGGCTCGGAAAGTTCCTAGTTGTTCCAGTTGGGCTGTATTAATTTTTAAATAGTGAAATTGAAAAAAATATTACTTATTTTATTTAGAGATGTTGTGAATTTTAAACTATCTT